TTTTTTTTTTTTTTTTAATTTCTGGCATTGTTCCCATGTTAATTAATGGTTAAACTTGTCAACAACTCGTTTATTATAAAATTATTTGATTGTAAACAACAGGAACAGTTTCTGATTTAAAGCTACATAATACATTTATTAAAAAGTTATTTTTTTTAATTTAAAACTAAAGTCAAACAAACTCCATCCATACAAGATACAGTCACCAACCGAATTGGCTGTACTTATACTATATTCTTTGTTTATTTTAGTGTGGTCGGTTGTAGTATGATCTAAGTGTTAGTCTCAAAGGAAGATTGATGTTATTGGTAATTAGCCTATTAGGTGACCTTATTGCTTTCAGTGTTTGGCTGACATATTTGGTTGTCAAATGAAAAAAATGATTTGATGAAGTCAATTATACTCTTAGCTGTCTTTTCCTTCTATTGAACCTCCACAAGTTTCAATGAGTTTGCTCTCACTTTTTTTCACTGTTTAACAGTTCAGTGGCTTAAATGAATTGTTATTCCCGACTAAACATAGATAAATCCTTAATCCTTTTACATCAAGAATATCCTGAAAGAGCACCAGGGTGGCATAAATGTGTTTCATTGAGCTAACTATAAACCCTTTTCTCTTGTATGTGAAAACTGCTTAATTAGTTGGTGGAAACCATTGCAGGATTCAGCTGGTGGTGCCTGCTGCGTTACAGCCTTAATTGAAGGTCAGGACATTGTTGTTGCAAATGTGGGAGATTGCAGGGCTGTCCTATGTAGAGGAGGAGTTGCTGAAGCTCTCACAACTGATCATAAACCAGAAAAAGAGGATGAACGAAACAGAATAGAAAATAAGGTGATCTTTTTTTTTAATCTTTTTTTAGCAAACTTAATATTGCTGAGTAGAATAAAAGAATTCTGAGGTTTCTGTTGATATTGGAGCAAAGGGAGGATATGTTCTGATGCATCGAGGGGCTTGGAGAGTTCACGGAATACTTTCTATCTCTAGAAGCATTGGAGATGCTCATATGAAAAACTGGATCCCAGCTGAGCCTGACACAAAAATCCTTCAAATGACTCAAGATATGGAGTTCCTTGTTTTGGCTTCTGATGGACTTTGGGAAAAGGTGAGAAGGGACATGTACATGCATAAATCATAATAATTGTTTTTTTTTTTTCCCTTTTTGCACTAGAAGTCGATACTACATCTACATTGGTTAAAAAGGCCTTAGAATTACCATGTTAAGCAGCTGTAATCTCCTTAAATCATATATGTATTTTGCAATTGATTATCCTCTGTTGGTTTCTCCTTTGCGCTGCATTTAGTATGGCTTCTTTTTCTTTCTTTCTGAATCATCCATCTTGTACCTAAGAGGGTGGATTGTATGTTTGTGATTATGCATAGGGAGGGTGATAAAACACTAGCTGCTTAGAATTTCCCAGGACATGAAATGTTGAGAAAGTGGAGAGAGGTAGTCTAAAATTTGATCATGATAAACATCTCTGCAAAACCACCCTCAAAGATAAACATTGTATACAAATAATATCTCAACAGCACTATTATCTCAGTTATATTTTTTATTGTTTGGCTACCCTGCATCTGCGTCCTCAAAATGTTCACACTGTTTTAATTGAGACACTGGACCCATGGTTCTATGTGGATTATTAATCAATCCTTTCTTGATTATTGAATTTGATCTCTAACTGTTGTTCAACCAGGTTGGCAACCAAGAAGCTGTTGATACAGTGACAAATTTATTGGAAGAGAAAAAACTGGCAACTGGAGATTTTGTTAAGGACAACCATGATGAGTACGGCTGCTTAAATGTAAATGTAAGTGTAAATGGAAGTCCTTCATCAAAGCTACGTAGGGTATCCCTGGTTAAAAAGCAGAGGGAGATCACAACTCTTCAGTCACCAAGATATAAGAATACCATTAATAACTGGAAAGATAAAGAGGATGACATTTATTGTGAAAATGGAAGCCCACCATCAAAGCTAAGAAAGGTTTCCCTCACCAAACGAGTAAGTATGAAATCTGAGAAATCTACTCAAGAAAATGCTGATAAGAAGGGGACGCCTTCCGCCTGGCTTTCAGCTGCTTGTAAGGAACTCATGAACCTTGCTTTGAGTAGGGGTAGTTTGGATGATATCACTGTAATGGTAATTGATTTGAACCACTTCAGATGTAGCAGCTGATACCACTTCATTATTTGTTTACATAAGCAGCTTCAAATTCTCAATTTTAATATCCAAAATTTAGCTTTTTGTTATACTTATATAGTGCTCTTCTATTTCTTCACCTGTTGAATTTGAATGCACTAGAAATGATACAAAGAGGGCACTTTTGACCACTCCAATCACCAGTTACTTACTGCTCTCTAGTTGAATGACAGTTATTGCAATGTTACACTGGACCACCTATATCTCTTCTAATGCTTGCTCCTCTCCTCCACTCCTTTCTCTGAAAAAATTTGCGGATTGTAATGTTTGGTGTGGGGGAATGCCTTGTTTATGAGGATCGGTATTGGATGTCAAAAACTGGCGCGTTTAATGCTTTTGTCTTTCCAGTTGTTCAACCTTTTTTTACGCATTATGTATTCTGCTTTGCCTTTTCCTCTCCATACTTTCCTTCTAATTGGTGGTTATGGCCATTTAATTCCAACTACTTACATGTAACACTTGTGTCAAGTCAGTGGCATAATCGGTCAATTACATTTTGATATACATAATTAAAAGTAGCCACATATCGATTTATGTGGCTTAGAGATGTCTATTTAATTGAGTCAATATTTTATTGATTCATTATTGTAACATCTTAAATTATATATTGAAATTGAAATGAATATATGGTTCAGATAATATATAAATGTAAAATTTAATTACTATTAATAACTTAAAATTAAATTTTTAACTTAAAAAACTCAAACTTAAGTCATTATGAAATTGTGTGAACGGATAAGCGGTGAAGATTGTGACACTTTCCCTAATCTATTTTTCCGTGGCACTTATTAATTTTGAAGGTTGATGATGAAAATTGAAAGTTACATGGTGGGACCAACGTTGTAAATTAGATATTTTTGAGGCATTTCACCCACCCAACGTGGCTCCCATCCCTAGAAATGACCTAATCCTCTCATGTGAAACTCTGCTTTAACTGGGAACACTTTCCACATAGCTTCATTACAGAAGAATTGTACTTCGTCTGCTTTTCAACCTTCATCAAAGAGATAATTTCCTCCCCATAAAGCCATATAATTAAAACCTTACCCCTATGTTCAAAAAAAAAAAAAATCCAATCTAAAGCAGGGAAAGAAAAGCAGAGTCTGTTGAAAACAGAATGAAAAAGGAAAAGAAACAGATTGTAAAGCTCCCAAGCCTTGCACATCACTCAGCATAAAAAACTTATCTTGATTCAATCCCTTCATCCTTCTACCCAATATCAAGAATCATGCATGATTCAATCGGAATTCCTGCTTGTTTTTCCTCGGGCGAAAAGCAATCTGATGACGCTGCGACTGTGGGAAGATCCGGACAGAGTGTCTTCATGTCTGTCTACCGGACAAAATTGGCGGGTCAGTGCCGGTTGATCACCGTTACATGGTGCAAGAATTTATTGCTCCACGGCCTCTGTGTCTCCGTTCAGGGTTCAAAATCCGACGAGCATCACCGGTGCAAAGTCGAGATGAAGCCGTGGCACTTCTGGAGAAAACAGGGGTCGAAACATTTGGTGGTTGATGGCAGGGCAGTTAACGTCGTCTGGGACATTAAGACTGCGAAATTCAACGGCGAGACGGAGCCGCAGTCGGATTACTACGTTGCCATTGTTTGTGAAGAAGAGGTGGTTTTGCTCCTCGGCGATTTAAAGAAAGACGCGTTTAGAAAAACCGGTTGCCGGCCGTCGCTAATTGAGCCCATCTTGGTGTCGAGGAGGGAACATGTGTTTGGCAAGAAAAAGTTCTCAACAAGAGCTCGATTGAATGAGAAAGGAAACTTTCATGGAATCTTGATTGAGTTTAATGATTCTGATCATGGGTCTGATCCAAAATTAGAGATAAGGGTTGATGGAAAATTAGCAGTTCAAGTTAAGCATCTTCAATGGAAGTTCAGGGGAAATGAGTCCATAAGCATAGGCAGAAATGGGGTTGAAGTTTATTGGGATGTTCATGATTGGCTCTTTGAGTCTGGTCCAAGGCATGGTCTGTTCATATTCAAGCCAATTTCCTCGCCGCCGATACGGGGGCAGCAGATATCAGTGTCAGCTCCGTCGTCACCTGATCATGAAGCACTGATGAATCCTCCACCAGAGAATGATGATCGTTCCAGGTTCTGCTTGTTTCTCTATGCTTGGAAAGTAGAGTGATATCTTGGTAAATGATGCTACCATCATCAGCATCGTCACACCATTATCATGCATAGATACATGTATAGGCTCCACGGTTTACTTATAATTTCTAATTTGTAGTTTTTGTTTTCGAAAATTTGGTAATGCTAAATCAAAATATATAAGTTTGATCAATTAAAAAAGGATTTTAGAGTTTTCCTTTTTCGTTTTTTAAGATTAAAGTAATCTTTTTTTTTTTAATCTATTCTATTTGTATATTACGGCAATTTGAATATAAAATTTTTCTTAAATCTCATGCTTTATTTAGAGGAATATTACCATTAAACCGGCATGAGACTTTGTTTGGAAGTGTTTGGAAGTGCTCCATACAGCACTTAATCCCGTAATATTGTATTTAAAAATATAAATTTATTATAAATAATTAATTTTAATTAAACTCCACCAAGCGATCTGATGGTCGCGCGTCTCATTGAGGCTGGTAGGTTGTTTATCAGATTTGAGGATCGAATCTCCAATTACTAACATTTAACAATACTAACCTACTAATTATTGTCCTTATCAAAAAGAAAAAAAATAATTTTAATTAATATTTTATATAATTTTATGATGGGGCAAGACAAAAAGAAAATCTATCATCACAATATAATATTGATAAATAAAGTTTAAGTCATTGGCCAAAAAGGGTTTTAGTATTAATTTTGAAAATTTATACTTAAACTCCATTTACTATGATTGTAATTTTTAGTTTTAATTTTGATTTTCAAAAATTTTATAATTATTAAAAGCTAAAACAAAAGATTAAAAATTAAAAGTTTATTTAAAATAACTTTTAAAATTGACAAAAAAAAAATGTAAACTTGTTTAATAGGATTAAAACCATTTTATTCTTATTTTTTTAATAATCATGATATTATATTACAAAAATACATAAAAATAAACAAAATTTTCATTTAAAATTCCAAAATTTATAAAAATTAAAATAAAAAACCACAAAATAAAGTTATTAATTTTGATTTTTAATTGTTAGTTATAATTGTTAAAATTTCCAAAGCTAAAATTTAAAGCCGACAATAAGAATGATATTAATGGGAACTTACGTGTGTGGGGCATGTATTATGCATGTTCTCTGGATATAAAGCTAGTGGATCAGGCTAACATGGACATGAAAATGAAGGATTGAGGTGTATGGGGTCCAATGAGAGCTGGAAGATGGTCACAGATGGACAAAATTAGACAGGCTAGATTGGATTTACATCCACATCCAATATTTCTCTTCAATCTTCAATCCCATCATTCTAGAGAATTTATAAATTGTTATGTATTAATATATAATTTTGATTTGAGTGTCACAAAAGAGGTCGGAGGTGTATGTATGTCCAAAAGGATATGACACTGCAAAGGTAGCTGATGATGCAGCATGTGCCTTTGCAACTTAATGGATACTTTTTTGGTATTTGAGAATCACGGATCACCATTAATGAACCTGCACATACGTGTGTTTTGGAAATGAAACTTGTCCTTTTTTTTCCTTTTGGGTTTTTCTTTTACATTGTGAATGGTATGTCTAGGACGGATCTGTTTGGTTTGTTGTGTAATGGTTTTTTGCTGAAACATCTTTGATTTGGGTTATTGTTAGGGTTTGCCGCAATTCATAATGTTAAGACACTAATTTTTAATTTGTTTTATTCTTATGCTATTTGCAAATAAGTTTGAACTTTTTTATTTGTTATTAGTTAATAAATATAATCATTAATTATTTTTATCAATTAAATTCAATAGATTTAGTATTTTATAATTTTCGGTGACCTTAATATTATAAGCGAACAGTCATAACCCTACCTCAAATTATAAAAGAGTATTGGTTCTTTTTTGGTATTAACTTCTTGATATCTGGTAATTACATTGGATTCCGACTAATTTGAAATTGAATCGTGTCAACTCATTTGGGAGAAGTTCTCCCAACGCTCATTTTTCCATTCATAAAACTTGAAATCGAGATTTTATTTAAGAAGAATCGAACTTTTTACACTCGGATCAATAAATCATTAGTATAAAAGAGTATTTATTATCTAATTATTATACTTTCTAATAATTAATTATCTTGAAATATAAATGTTGACCTTGATTTTACTACGATACCAATAATAATTTGACATGTGGTATAACTGATACTTTTTTTATTTTAAAATAAATTTTTTATTTTTTAACTTTAAAATTATCTTAAACAATTATTATTTTTTATTTTTTAAAGTAAATTTCTCACTTTTACCTTATAATTAATTAATTATTTTGATTAATTATCTTTTAAAAAAAAGGTCTCTTTATATTTTAATTTTTTTTCTAAGATAATACCAGCACAGAGGGAATAAAATCAAAATTAACTTTTGTATTCATGGCAGTCAATTATAAAAAGGGATAATGGTTAGGCAGTATTCTTTTTTTTTTTTTTTTTTGTTTTCCGCCCGATATCCGGCTTTGCCCAAATTAATCCGGACTCAACTCGTGTCGCGCACTTAAAAATAGTGGGTGAGTCTCCCAGTGGGAGCTGCTGCGTAACACAAGATCTCGAACTCGAAACCTTATTTAAACTAGAACAAATCACTTATTATTTGATCCAACCTCTCGTTAGTTAGGCAGTATTCATTTGGTAGCCTAACTGTATGGATATGTCAAATCATTTCAATCTTAATTATAAGAATATTTTAATTATTTAAATAATTTAATAATATTTTACTTCTAATAATCATAAAAGATTTTAAATTTAAATTTTATCACATATAAATGAGATAGATATCACATATAAATGAGATAGATAAGAGAGTATAAGATAATTACTTTTTATTATGCAAAAAAAAATTCTTGCAATTTATCTTTCTCACAATTTGTTTTTTGATTTAGATGGTCAAGGTATTTTCATATTTATTTAAGTATATATTAAAATTGATTTTTTTAAGATAATTTTAAAAATATATTTTTATATTAAGTTAATATATTAAAAAATTAATATTTTAAATACTGATACAAAAATTGAACTCCAAATTTTCTCTTTAAGATGACACCGACTTGCTATTCAGTCTAACCCTTAAAAAAAAACTCATATATCAGGTAGAGCCACAAAGTACAAACAGCGTAGGAAAGGAGAAAGTAGAGGCTGGTCCATTCCATCCTGCTTACCACGACCGTTTAACCGAAATGCAGAACCGAAGGGACTTGCAAATTTTTGGTTAAATCCCTGATTTAGTTCCTATTATTTATCAATTTACCTCAAGTTGATCTTTCGTATAAAAATTAATTGATGTGTATTGATATTAACGTGATACATAATTATTAAATTATTATTTTTTATCATTAAATTACTATTTTTACCATTAAATAATAAATATGTCAGTTTATTTTTTTGTACGAAATGATCAATTTAAGGTAAATTAATAAATAATAAAGATCAAATTAAAGATTCGTATAATAATTTAAAGACTAAATCAAAAATTTTTTTAATTTAAGGATTAAATCAAAAATCTATACAATAATTCAAGAATTAAATTAGAGATTTAACCCAAATCTTTTGGGCGTTGTGGTGGACCAACGATCAAAAAAGCTCGTTCTCTTACCACAAAACAAGTTAGATAGTACCAAACCTCCTCCCATGCCGCGTTAAAGGTCTTTTCCCACTTTCCAAAAAGTCCCTTTTGGAAGATTAAAAAGGGCAGACCAAATTGGAGAAGGAAGTCATTGTACCAAAAAAGGGGGTAAAGTTAGAAGTCATCAAGTGGTCCATTCCTCCTTTTGCTCTGTGATAGCCATACATACTTTTGAGATGAAATATTGCAGGTTGCTTCACTCAAATATGATCGAAAGCAGAATCTGATGATTCCAACTAGACCTAACAGCTAACATACTCATGTTACATCCCATAATCAAAATCATATTGTTTGGTTGGTTTGACGGTTTGCACAATTTAGTTATAAAATAATATTATCAAGAGTTTAGTTAAATTAGTATTTATTAATTTAAAAATTTTTATTAAATATTCAAATTTTTATAATATCAAAAAACTAACTCTTTAATATATTAAAAAAAAAGAGTAATAAAATTATTGATCCAAATACATGCAATATTGAAGGTGAAATTGAATCAATCAAATCCTGTCAAAATTGTAGTTAAACCAAGTTGGATTAGATTGTATCAAACCAAACAGGTTTCATAAATTTTATTATTTTTTAAAAATTATTTTTTAATAATTTCATTTTTTTCACATTATTTTTTAGAAGAAAGGAACTTCGTAAGATCCAGTGAGAGTGATCCCCTTAAATTCGTCTTTTTTTTTTGGAAGACCAACAAAACCTTAAATCATTTACTGAGAAAAAAAAAAAAACGGAAAAACCTTTGAATTCATTCTTATAATTATGCTTGACTATTTTTATAACTATATTACTCGTATGTACACTTATTTGATACTCTATTGTAAGATATCTTTATATATATATATATAAGCTTAATTTAATAAATAGTCTAGTAATTTATATATATATATTTTTTCTATTTCATCTATTATTTGTAGATTTTTTTAGATTTTTTTTGGTATAAAATGTGAAAAATGTATTTATCATGAAATTATCTATACAAGAAGTTTAGCAACAACTTGTTGCTGGTACAATGAAAAATACTCAGCTCTATATAACAATCTCAAAAACCCTATTTTAAAGCAACTAATGCACTTAAAATAAAGGAAAAAGGCCTAGCACTTTCCAAAATTTTGTGTAACACATCAAAACAGATTTCATCACACACTACATTTGCTATCTTGTAGACATGCTGGTGGATTCTCCTGTTCCTTTCCATCCAAACATGGTAAACTGCAACATTCCACATTAACTTGATGAGTGTCTGATACAAAGACTTTCTTCTAATTTGTTTCCCCATCCATAAGACAAGCTCTTGCCAAGAATCTAGATAAGAAATTCCAGACATAGCACTCAAACTCTTCCACACACATTTTGCATAGCTACAATTAAAAAAAAATGCTCCACAGTTTTTGATCCATTATTGCATAGGACATAGGTGTCATCTATGTTAGGGGACCATTTCTTTTGCCTTGCTTTGGTTGTTAACCTGTCCAACATGACTAGCCAACTAATAAAACTATGTTTTGGCATTTGCCAAGAGAACCAAACCAGCCTATGCTAAGGAATCTAGGACCGCTTGCTCTTGACCCAATGCCATGTTCTCCTTGCCATGTATGTCCTTGAAGCTGAGGGATCCATCTAACAATATCCTTGCCCCCTTCCTTAGGATATAGTCTGTTACATAAAGCAATTTGAATGTCTAGCAATTGAGGTGAGTGAGCTGGTGGCCATTTCCAAAAATTACCATTAACCACTACCTCTAGCTTGGCTTGGGAAGAAAACCCAGAATCTTGGACAATTGTGCACCAAAAGTTTCAACTAGAGGCCCTAAAAGGTGCTAGTGATCACACCATAAATATATTTCCTTTCCATCACCTGGAATGTGTTGAATAAGATTTCTAGCTTGTTGTCTAAGATTGAGGAGTTTCCTCCAACCCCATGACACATCAGAAGGAATTCTTATAGACCAGAAACTATAGCCCTTCAACAGATATTCATGGATCCAGGCCACCCAAATAGATCCAACTTTTGGTCTAATATGTTATTTTCTAATAGTAATTTCACTTTTATTTGTCAAATTAATTTTTGACTATATCTTTTGTGAATTTTTACTTTTTAAAATTAATTTTAAGATAAAACTAATTTTATAAGGATGATAAATTCATTTTTACTATTTGAGAAACTATAATATTTATCACATGCTACTTTAGTTTTTCCTTTGTAGCAGAACCACAATTATTAAGTTTTTTTAATAGCTAGTATAATCTATCGTGGATTGTTATATTGGTTGGGATTACTTTGTTTTAATTTTGATTTAATAATATTATTATTTTTTTGTTAAAATTAATGAAAGTTTTGTACAATAAATTATTGTAAAATATTTTACAAAATTTATCGACTATTTAGCAAAAAAACTAACTTTTTAGATTAAAATAAAATTAGGTTAATAATTAATAGACCAATTATTGAATTAAGCCATAAAAAAAGGGTTATTTGTGGATAAACTCTGAATTTGATTCGATTGACAACAAAGTAATTTATCTTTAATTTTGTTGATAACATATTTACTCTAATTTTTTATTATGAAAAAGAAAATTTCATTGCTTACATTTAATTTTTAGTGCACACTTGGTCTTTTTTTTTTTTTTTTCCCTTTTTTATACAGTGGAAGATTAATTGCTAGCAATACAAAGAGACTAGTAACTCCGGCTAAGTTTTGGCTAGTTTTACTGGATGCTTGATACCTAAATTACAAATTATAATGATTGTACCGCATAAAAGACTCCATGGCCCAATGGATAAGGCGCTGGTCTACGGAACCAGAGATTCTGGGTTCGATCCCCAGTGGAGTCGCCAAGTTGAGAGCTTTATGGATAAATTTTTGAATTAAATAGGAATTAACCCCTTGAATCTGAAACTACAAATCATAATGCAAGAGACAGAATTTAGTTACTGTTCTGTTGCAAAACCGTGACAGGAGTTAGAGGTTTTGATCTTTTGATCGCAAATGGTGAGGCTTCTGACAAACTTCTGTAATAGGAATTGGAGGGTCTGAAAGGGAGCCATCGAGAATCTTGTCGACCACCCACCGATTTGCAGTGTGTGAAAAATGTACCCCGTCCCAACTAATATAGGTTGAAGGGTTGCTGCATGAACTCCGTGTTATTTCTGTTCCATTCACTATTTTCCTCCTCCAGCACTTGTCATTGAGATGATGGCCACAGCAATATCCTAGTGGGTTAGTAAATCCTGCATATACAAGTGGATTAGAATCTGACACTCAGTCTACCAATATGTGGAAAACTGAAAATGCATTATGAAATGAAGCTTACCATGCTTCGTTGCTTCGGAAATTAGAGAATATTTAGCTGAGTAGATGTCAACATATGTCAGGACTGCATCTTCGAGCTGCACCCTGAGTTGGGATACCCTCTCCTTGAGCTGCCTATTAAATTCTTGAGCCACCACATTCTGGGACTTTATGCAACCATTTTGATCCACATTTTCAGGTTTTGGAGGATAATCTAGAACCTGTTGAGGTAAACAGCCAATAGGACCTGTATTATGTATCCAAAATGCTCTTGCTCCTAGTTGGTACAGCCGCTGAAACAGTAAAAGGAAAAAAAAAAAGAAAAAGAAAAAGAAAGAGTTAATAAATAAATTATTTAAATTTTTTCCTTTGTGTTTATGTTTTCTCCCTTTTTGATAAAATGTTTTCACAAAATATTAAAACCAGTTAACTGCATTTCTCTATAGGGGTTGCATAATGGATCAATGAATGTTTCTTATTATCTTCTAAGCTCTTATAATCTACACAAGAATTGATGTAGCTTTAATCAGCTAAAATTCAAGTTTCTGAGGAAAAGGAAAGAAAATCAATAAGCACTCAAAACCAAGAAGGAAACATATAATCGACTCATAAAAATCTGTGTCTTTGCACCAACAACCATGTCAACTGTGCATATATAGTTCTGATGCATTAACCGTGGCATTAACTGGCCAAAAATACAACTGTGGCTTTAACAAAAAGCTTGATGCAACATGCAAGCATGCAAACATGCACAGGATTCACATTCTTACAAAATAATGATTATGTATTTCTATGGTGAATATGCTCAAGTTGCAAGGTAACCCCATCTAAGGAACGGACTAAAACAATAAACTAAAAGTTCAGTTACCATAACAGCATGTGCCAACTGATCAATAAGTCCGGGAACAGATGCTAGCACTTGTTCTTCTGTCATGAAATTAAACGCAGCATCGAGATCATTCTGACCAATATCAAATGTGTATAGTGCTTTTGTGAAGTCCTCTGGCCTCGGAAGCTCACTTCTGATATTTGAGTTGACACCTTAAGAACAAAAAGTCAGAAACTTTAACTCCATTATGAATCAAAAACTGAAAATTTTCTCTTGAATTTATATGATCTTTTTAACCCAAAACATTTTCCATGATATAGCTAACCTTCTTTATATAGCTCATTTGTGCGTTCCCTCAATTGTTCAAATTGCAGAATCTGTATATCAAGAGAGATAGGGTTGAACCCTTGGTTGAATACTCTGGTATCAAGTGGCTGAATTGTTGATCCCCCGATAGCAAAATTAGCTCCATGTCTAAAATTTGTACCAATGGAATCCAGATATGCATTCAAGTATGGCAGCTTCAATTTCTCAGCTGCAAATAATCCAAGATTGATATTGAAAAACAGAAAAATATGGCCCAAGGATGCTGAAAATCAGGTCGCCATAGTAACAAAAAATATCAGAACGTCTAATCAAAACTAAACTACACGATGAGTGAGACATAATGTAGACCTCAATTAAGTCTCATTTATTATGTGGTTGGGATTGAACATTTGACATTTACTGATTTTCATTTTTCTGATATAGCAGAGCCAATGCTTAAAGGATGAAAATTTAAGCAAAGCAACCCGACCAATGAAATCAAGGACGAGCTTTCCGTTGCAGTATCTCCCAGATTGTTTGTGGAAGAAAGTTTCGCCATTGGGATAAGGAATCCGGTCGAATGCAGCTGACTTGCCACCGGTGTCAGAATTCGAGTCACCGAAGTTGAATATGGCCGGAAAATCACAGCCATAGGAATAACCAAAATTATTCTGTCTTCTTTTGAGCAATAAAACAGAGAATGCAATAACAAAAAGAGCTACCGGTTTCAGCTTTCTTATACTCCTGCTCAATGCCCAAAAACTCTTCAATCTCATGCTCATACTCATACTGATATTGGGTCTTGCCCCGTTCATAGCAGTTCTCTCAGACATGTTCACAAACAGTTGGTGCTACATAAAAAATTACTAAATTTTCTCGCTTGCATCCGACAGACAGTTCAGATTCAGACTCAGAGATGGCACCTGAAGGCATTTTGGATGATAAGTACATAAAGAAAAAAAATCCAAAAAAAAAAAAGAGGATATCCAGAGATGAAGGTTAGGGGGTTGTTTTTCAAAACTTTAAATGCACTTGCTTTAAAGATCAAAATTTTCTCCCATCAATTTATAATTTTATTAGACAGAAATTTAAGAAATTTAAAAATGGACTTTTAAAATAACTTTAAATAA